ATGAATGTATAAGTTTTAGTTTGTGTGATAAAGATATCAAATTGTAGCTCCCAAAAATTTCCTATGATTTATTTATGGAAAAAAGAAGTATCCTTTTGATTGACACAAGTTTGTGTTATTGTAGGTGTTTTACACAAAGTACGATCAGTCGTACTTTGTGTAAAACTGAAAAGTTACTTTTTTTTCTCTCTTCTCAATACATCGCTGACGACGTATAAAGTGAAAAAAATAATTTTTCAGAATTACACAGAGTACGACCGTACTCTGTGTAAATCACTAAAAGGACACAACTTGTGTCCTTTTGAATGATACACACTAAATCCTTTATTTATTTCAAGAAACTTACAAATGATATGGAAATGTAAAAAAAAAAAAAAAGGAAAAAAGAATGAGAATATTTTTTGTATAGCAGGAACATTTGATTTTTCTACTTTTAGTTTTTTTTTTTTGGCAAATTAGTTTTTGGTCACGAGGTAAAGTGACCAAAGATGGAAATTCAGAAGTTGGCATATATCCATCCGCTTTGAAAAGAAAAAGGATTTTTATTGTTTTTTAGGCTATTCCGTTTAATTTATAAAAAAAATTAAATTAAATTTTTTAAAAATATTATTTATTTTAAAAATTTAAGCATGTTTAATTAAAAAATATTTGTCACTTGAAAAAAATACAAATAAACTGCTAATTTTTTAAATTTTAAAAAGCGAGGCTGAGTGGACATGTATATGATGGTTCCTTTTGTTTGGCTATTTTGGGTAATTGACAATTAGGGGACAGGATGGGAAAGGAAGGAACAATAATTATTTACTATTTATTTTTGAGGTATGATGATTTGCAATATAATTGAGGAAAAGAAGGAACAATAATTATTCATTATCTATTTTTAAAATATAGAAAACTTTTCCTAATCTTAAACTTCTACTCATAAAAAAGAATGTGATAATCATAAGAACCAGAAAAAGAAAGAAAGAAAGAAAGAGAAATTAACAAGTAATACAATGTCACGCTCATCATGAAACAAAGAAATCTTACAAAAGATTTATGTTGTTGGTAATTGAACGTGTTAAATTAATCCACAACTTGTGTAAATAGTTGTATCCATTGATTTGGATGATTTTCCAAATAAAATGGCATCTTGAATTCTATTTTGGTACAATATTGTTAGTCTATTATAGTTGTTTCGTAGTCTATTATTATTGGTGTATTGTAGTTGGCTTGTAGTCTATTTTTTCACTAATTACAATGTCATGCACAAACAAAAGAATACGCCAAAGACAGATCCGTAATAGAAAACAAAATCATCAAAGCCAACGCCAACTCTCTAATAGTCAAAGTGCAGATTAACCCCCTCAATAAAGTTTCTCAACCAAGTTCATGAGGATGATTACTTTTAGTTGTGCAAGGACTTTTAAAATCTCCTTGCTCCTCTTATAGTAAATTCGGATGATTGTAACTTCTATTATAGATTACATGCATACTTTTAATGTACGAGCTATGTAACACCCGACATCGATACTGGATACGACACTTCGACACGTTAATTATAAAAAATATTAGATTTTGAAATGTTAAGACACGTTTTGATATTAAATAATATTTTTAATTTATATTGCGTATATTATATTTAATATTCAATAATTTAACAAAAGAATTAAAGCTAAACTTATAATACCCATTAATTTTGCAAAGAAACATAAGATATCACAAATATTTATATTAAATTCAATAAAATGATAATAGTAATTCAACGAATCTAACTAGTAGTTAGAACTAAAAATGCAACGCAACCTTTGAACTTTTTTTTGATTTTCTACAATGCGTGTTAGAATGTCGTGGAGTATCGGAGTGTCGGACATAAGACGTTGGAATTCTTGAAATATCTATAGCATACAAGGGAAAATGTGGAATGGTTCAAAATCATCAGAAAAATCTACTTTATGAATTATAAGTGTAGCACTTGACAACCGAATTGATAAGCTTGCCGGAACCATTATGACTAATTAACACCAATTGCTTAAACTTATTTATATTATGTGAGTTGTTTCCCTTTGGATGGTGATCGGTCCAATAAGGTTTTTTGATGACTACGATTAGTATAAACTTGGCTGAAAGCACATAGAAGGTAGTGAAGAAACAGTTGAGAATTGTACACCTTATACAAAAGAAACTCATCATACTCTAAAGTAGACAAAAAAAGAAGTGTCACCGATGAAGTAGTAGTAGACTCGGTGAAAGTGACACCACAGACTCTGAGCAAAGACTACAATCAGAAGAGCAAAGAAAGAAGGGATTTTATTAGAAACTTATATGGAAGGACATCACGAATCCAGTACCTATAACCAAATTATTTGCCCATAAGAAAATACTGAAATGTCCCCCTTTTTTATATACTAATATGTTGCCACCAAATGATAGTGTAACGCTAGAGAATTGAACAAGTGAGAGTAAGATGATGTGCTCAATCTTCTTCAATATTATTTTTGAAAGGAGTTTAATGTTTTATTTCAGAGACTCGCCCTGAATCGGACTAATAGCGACGTGACGAACTGATAGAAATATCTAAAAAAAAAAAAAAACATGTTGTCAAATCAATAAGTAACCACATAGTTAGCGTAAATAATTTTTTATTGAGAAAATCACCGTATGGCTTAATTAATAATCATATAGCCACCGGATGCTTAATTAAGCAGAATTGAGGGGAAAATTTCTTAAAAGATATGAAAAAAATATTACTTCTAGAATGCCAAATTAATCCATAGAAAATCTAACAATTGTTATAACGTGTAAGTATTACATCTCATCCAACATGTAATAACAATCTCAACTAAAATTAAGACGTGAAAAGCACTTGTCAATGACTTGTAGCTTAGAGGCACATGCTAGTTTTAAAGGCCTAGCTAGCAATGTATAAATTAAGGATCTGATTTATTACATCTTGTGTTGCCCTTTTACATATAGTGATTTAGAAACAATTTGACAAAATTAAATATTGTCATGCAACATATTATCTATAAGCCAGAAAAAAAAAGGCAATCATAAGGGAACATTTTCATGTCTAATTTTATTTTTTGAAGTTTACCATTATTAATTACTCATATAATAATTTTAAAAATATATAAAACGATGGTTTATTATTTTAAATTTTAAGGTAAACACAAACACCACTTCCCTTGTATATGCTTGTACTTTTAATGTGATGAAAAAAGTAAAAGAAAGAAGGAGAAAGGGAAAGATGAACAAGAGAGGCAGAGAGCAATTGCGTTTGTGCTACTTACCTGCCGCTGTTTCAGAAACATGATGACATGTTCCCCACTGTTGTGTAAGGATGTTGTATTTGTAAGGCATTGCATTTTGGATTTTGGAGAGAATAAATTGAAGCTTTATTAATATTGTTATGTATTTAATAATATTTATTCATATTTTGTAATTAAAAAATTTAATTTATTCTTAATTAACTGCAGAAAAAAAATGATGAACCAAATTTAAATTAAATAAAAAATATGTACCAAAAGTCGATTTTTTTATCATTATTATTACATAAAATATTAATTACGTATCGATAACTAACTTAAAACTCGGAGGATACAGAAGAATAATATAAAAAATCAATTTCATTTTTAACCACGTGTAATATTGTATGCATATTACATACATAATCATAGAGATAAATTATAAATTTTTTAAAAAGTAATTAACTTGCAATTATAATAAGGGATAAGAAATATTTTATTACTTAAAAAAAATTACTTTTCATTAAATTTCGACTAACTACGAGTGTTGAGGTGAGAATAACTTTTATATATAAAATTATCCTTACATATTTATAAAAAAAATTATTTATATTCGAATCCATGCATTTCAAATAGAAAGGAACTTCCCGAACTTCACCCTCTTACATATTTTATTACTTAATTAAATAAAATTAAATTATGTATACTTAAAATAGAATCATATTCAAACTTTTTAAATGAGAAAATATTAAAATAATGTTGATGAGTCACTAAATATTAAAAAAACCATAAATTTGTTTAAAAAAAAAAACATAAATTTAGCAGAAAAATTTGCTTCCTTAAAACATGTGGTATTAAATTTACCTGCGATAACTATATTTTACATAATAATTTATACTATTATAGATGGGTTTTATAAGAATTATGTTGTAGGAAAAATGATTGTGTTATGTTATGAAGATTCGTTGGGCGCACCGTGAATTTTTTTTTTTTCTTCAAAACATGTGGGTCTCACAAAATGTTATGTGTGTAAGAAATTTTTTATGGTCATATTAAACGAGGAAGCAAACTCTATTCTAGATTTGCTCTCAATAACATTGATGAGTCACTAAAACTTTGTATTTGGAATTTTTTATACTTTGCCTGCATAACAAAATTGTTGAGTCCGTGATTAACCCATGATTTTTTGTGAAGAGGGACAAAAATTAAATATCAAAATTATTAGTGTTATTAGGAATAATAAGATAGATTAATTATTATAAGTATTTTTTAGGAAATGAATAATAATAGTATTAATAATTTATTATTATTAAATAAATATTATTTTATATGAGTTTGATATTTGTGATTTTAAATGACATAAGTTATGTTATTTTAGGAGAGAGATAGACACAGAAAAATAGAAATTATGAAAGAGAAAAAGTGGGTGGTTTTTTTAATTTAAAATTCAAATTTTCTGTGTCTGTATCTCTCTTAAAATGACATAACTTTCTGTCAATTAAAATAATGACAAATATTTTTTCCTAATATATATAATAATAATAAAATAATCAAAATTTAAGCGGCATGTCTGTGTTGGCATCTTTTTGGTTTCTTTGTTTGTAGCTGGGGAGTGTAAGACTGCATAATATGCTCTTTGGTAGTTATTTTCAAATATTAAAAGTGATTAACTACCTCCACCCAAGCCAAGCCAAGCCAAGCCGGCTTTTAGGTGCTTAATCTGTCAAACCTCTCTCAACTCAACACTCTCTGCACGTCCTTTCCCTTCACCAACAAAGTCTCACCTTTTCTGATTCTCCAAAGTCTCACTCTTTCGTTTCTTCCTTCAAACAAATCCCACAAGGCATAACCCATTCTTCACACCCTTTTGGCCTCTTTTTTTGATCCCATTTTGTCCACTTTGGACCACTGAATAATAAAAGTTGCAAACTTGATTTGTTTCCTTTAATAATTCAAGTCTTCTTTATGGTATTTTTTTTTTTTAGGGGACTTTAATAACTTCTTTTTATTGCATTCTTTGTTAGGTCTGAATCAATCAAATTGACTAGTCTGCTAATTTTTTTGGTCCCATTTAAACCCTCTGCTGTGCTCTCCTGTTTCTCCCCATCAAGAAACCCATTTAGTAGTGAGTTTTTGCCATTTCAGGCTTCTGGAGCTGAGTGATTGGAATAGTTTCCTCAAAGGTTGAATGAAATGGCAGTTGAACTTTGCTCAGAGAATTGTGATGCTTCTTCTGGGAGTCCAAGAATTTCTTTCTCACATGACTTTTCCCAATCTGATGTCATACCTGTTGAGCAACACCCTTTGAGATCAAACTCTTCTGGTTTGAATTCAAGCATTGATTTTGATTTTCGTGTCAGTGAAAGCTTCGAGCTTGAATCATCTTCAGCAGATGAGCTTTTCTCAGATGGGAGGATCCTTCCCACTGAAGTCAAGAGAAAGAATGCTCCTTTGAAGCAAACGGGTCAATTAGCACCACACCCTCCATTGCCTCCTCCATATGCTGGTCCTGACAGTGCTTCTACAAGTAAAAACTTGAAGAAAGAGAACCCCAAAGAAAGCAAGTATTTGAATGATGGATTGTGTGACAAGCAAAGTTCCAAGTCTTTTTGGAGCTTCAAGAGAAGTAGCAGTTGTGGCAGTGGATATGGAAGGAGCTTTTGCCCTTTGCCACTTCTATCCAGAAGCAATTCAACTGGATCTACCCCAAGTGTTAAGAGGAATCCACAGTCAAAGGAGGGTCCTAATGTTAGGCAAAATTCCCAAAAACATTCTTCCATAAGGTTTTCTCACTCTTTTGTGCCAAACAGTTATCAAAAGCCTCCATTGAAAAAGGGTCATGGATCTTATGGTAACAGTGTTCGAGTCAATCCTGTCCTGAATGTTCCTTCTGCAAACCTATTTGGTTTGGGTTCAATTTTCTCCAATAATAGAGATAAGAGCAAGAAGAAGTAGTTTTAGTTTACATTTCAACTCTATGCTTCAATTCCCTTAACTTGCAAATCAGTTGGGTCTATCTTTTTCTTTTTTTCTTTTTTCCTATGTACTTCTTGGGTTTACCATGGGACTAAAAAAATGATACATAGGTTAAATTTTTTGAAAGGTGGAATGGTTTGCATCAAGAAGACAAAGTGATCAAAAAGAGATATTTGTGAAGGTGATGGACAAGAATGACATTATGCAGGCACATGCTTTGGGGCACAAAATGACAGGTAACTGTTTTCATGGCTGTCCCTTGCTTGTGTTTTGTTCCTCTGCTTTTGTTCTTTGGACTATGTGTAAATACATTGACTTTGATTAGTATCTCTCTCTCTCTCTCTTGGGGTTACTTTGGATCTCTCTTACTCAATATGAATAAGAGGCTAAATGGAGAAGTTGATTGTACAATTGTTTGTGAGAAGAGCTTGACGTGTTTCTCTTCTGCTTTCAGCTGTTCTTCTTGCATGCATTGATTAATAATAATAATAATAATAATAATAACAATAACGTATTCTGACATTTTCTTTAGAGATTTTCTACACGCAGAACCACTAGTATATTTATGAATAACACACCAGATCATTATGTACGTTACATTAATTTGGTACTCTCCAAAGATATGATGGTCTGCGTTTAGGGGAAGGATGATGAAACTAGCACTTTTTATAATACTAATGTCAGAGTATTTGACAATGTTATATAACCATAAATCATTTTATAAGTCACTAGAATATGCCATCTTCTAGTGTTTCCTTGAACGGTGACCGATATCCCTTCTCTGTGGATGATGAAGTTGCAGTGGACTATATCCTCTTGGAAGAATCCAACATTGAAATGGGGTATAAACTTGTCGCTGCAATCTTAGTTTGTAAGATTTTTGCTGTAGGCCCTTTTTCCCTAAGAATGTGATTTCAAAATATGGAATTTAACACTGCCCCACCCCATTTTGAGTCTAATTATGTGAATTCCAGCTTATTGGAGAACTAGGAAATCTGGATAAAAACAAATTAGTAAGAAATAGAGCAATGTGTTAGATGTTGGTCTAGGTGGTCTGGAATTAGTTTTGTAAATCAAAGTTAAAAATTTTGTGTTAAAGCCTTTGAAAAATCTAACATGGCTAGTTCCCTATAAATCTAAGTCCTTGGGAAATAAAGTTACCTCCTACCTTGGACTTGAGCACCCAACAAAACAAACATTCTTTGCAGAAATCTTCCACTCTGGACGCTTCCAGGCTTCTCTCTTCTTGGGTTCCTCTAAGGGAAGAATCAGGAGAAATTAATTAAGAGTTGAAAAAGGAATTGCTGGCAGATATAGATATAAATATCTTAATTATCAAGCCGCGGGTCACAATTCAGGTTGATACACACAACAAGCGGATCAAAACTCAGTGACATGAACATAATATATTTATTTTGTGAGTTGATACAATACGATATAAATAATTTATCAGCCTCAAAGTATATTGGTTATTATATAGATGACATGACATTAATAAATAACTTGTAACCCTCAAAGTGTGTTATATATTATATGGGTTGACATGATACAATAAGACAATACGAATAACTTATAAAAAGATTAACGAGTCAATTTCATATTTGTAGATTGACACGTAATGCGACATGAATTTTTTGTCTCAGTGTTCGTCAATATGAAGAGGACATGAATTTAAAAATAGATCAAGCAAAGCACTCGAATTATTTTTGTGTATCATACCTTAATATGGACCATTAACTTGGACTAAGTCTTGATGAATAAATTCGGAGGTGGAGTCAATTTTTTCCAATTAGTTGGCACCCATCCTCAAGTTGTTTCCGTACTGTCTCTATCTCATTCATTTTGTTGAGCCATAAGTAGGAATTGCCAAGGCAACGCGTTCCCTTTTTATGTTAAAAAAGTTGAAAGATGGATTCAATTCCACCGGAATAACCAACCAAGAAAGGTGGGAAAAGGGAAAAGATGTGAACGGCCCCTTTTTTTTAACCTTCAGATATGGACAACTTGCTTTGCATAGATCTTCGTTCCTGACAGTTTGGTTCAAAAGTTTTAAGCCTTTGGTTTCAATCAAATAGGTACGTTCATTACAGGTCACTTCAGATCATGATAGTTCATCAAACACTACTTTCCTAGACCCATTATTTCTTGGTACAGCAAGTATAATTCAAATTTAGTGTGCACAGATTTTATTTTATTTTTTTCACAGAACACACAATAATATATGAAGTGTATTTCCAATTTTAAATTTGCTTTTTATTTTTAATAAGGTTTTAATTATGAATGTATTGATTTAGGGTAGTAATATGTGTAATTGTAAATAACAAAATGGTTAAGTTTATTTCTCAGTTTTTTTCACTATCAATCAAATTACTATATTACATTGGTAAAATAATGTACAAGGCTTATTTTACATCTCTATATCTCACATAAAATTATGCTTATTTTAGGGATTATATTATCATAAAGTAAAAAATGAAAGTGAAAGAATAAAAAAGAAAGATAATCAATCATAATTAAATAATAAAATTATACAAATATAAAATAATAAGAGTAAAAGTATGTATAATATTAGGGTTTAATATTTTTTATGTTATAAAAAATAAATTTATTTTTAACACACGTATAAAAATATGTGAAGCCATGAGAAAAAAATATATATTTCGCAACATGAGATTGTTTTTTATATTGTAAGACATTAAAATTCGTATTATTTTTTTTTCTTTTGTTTTTATAACAAGTGAGGGCTTTAACATTTGTTAACTATAGCATCAGAAATATTATATCAGGAAATAAATTCATAATATTATCATGAAAAAGTTGTAAGGGTTTATTGTTTGTCATTTAAAAAGATAGTACTTTTAGATGAATGTAATGTGTTTTTTTTAATTTTAAATTATAATTTTTTTTTCTACTCTCTTTTTCCCATAGTTTGTTTCCTTATCTCTCTTAAAAGAATATAAGTGTGTTCATTTAAAAGGATACACACTTTATCCAAGTTGTAATTGATTTATTTTCTGCTACCTAATAAACATTAAGGGCATATTTGGAGCACCTGATAAAGAAGATAGGATAGGATAACTTATCATATTTTATTTTTATCTCTTGTTTGGTGGGTTAATATGATATGATTAGCTTATCCTATTGTCTCATTTTAACCTATCCAATACTTGATTTCTTATCCTATAGAGGGAGCTGGGTTAGTATTCAACAGAATAGGATACTAATATTGGATACTCAATATATCTCAACGCTACCCAATATATTCCCACACTACCCAATATGTTTGTATTTATTGCATTATATTTTGTTTTTTCTTTCTCCTTCTACATAATCTTATTAGATTACTAATCAGGTGTTCATCAAACACATGACATTATATAAGTTTATTAACCTCATATCATATCCTACCTGAGTCTATGTTATATCATACTCTTATATCCTTTGGATCAAACGAGCCCAGAATTCATAATATTATCGTGAAAAAGTTGTAATTGACGTTTTCCAAACTTGTGAGGCTTTTTGCAGCAGGATAAGTTACAACTCATATCAGATTTCAATTGTCAAAAAAGTAAAAGCAATGGAAGTATTGCACAAACTTTCTTGCCAACAGTGACTGAAAGGTATTAATTACTGATGCTAGTTGTTGAAACGTGGTATAGACTAAATCGAAGTTCGGTGAGAAGAGATCTTCTTATAAATAGAGATGTACGATAAGATTTATGAAAAGGAAAATATTATACTAATAATAAACTGAAAAATATTATACTAATAATAAACTGAAAAATACTTATTTGTATTTATTTTTAAAATAATATTATTTTAAAATTAAAAAATTATAATTATAAAGACTAGAATAATCCTGAAATAAATTAACTTATAAAAACACCATAATCTCTGCTTCAAAATGACATTGTATTAGACTTACTGCGAAAAACTTATCTGCTATAATTGAAGAAAAAGCGAACCCATTACTAAATCATGGAAAAAAAATTATTTATAAATTCTTACTAATTATACTATGTCTTACTGGTAAGATATTATTAAGTGAAATTTTACAGGTAAGACAAAATATGATTTTTAAATTTATAAATTTTTTTTTTATCAATATAACTCTCCTCATGAATCATATAAATTTTTTATGAAATCTTATTTAACATCTTAGTGTTTATTTATCTCCTAATAATCTTATGGAAAATTATTTTCTCCAACTATAAGAGATAATTAATCTCATGTCATAGAGACATAAAAAGTTTTTCTTGCAATTTTTTTTTTTTTTTTTTTTTCTTTAACTTATGGGCTCCACATTTCTTGTTAGTATAGAAAAAAAGAGTAAATATCATTGTTGGTCCTCAGTAAATTTTACGATGCCCGCTTTAGTTCCTAGCAAATAAAAAAGCTATTTGTGGTCCCTAAAAAATTCAAAATGGACTCATTTAGTTAAAATCGTGGTTCCTCAAAAATTCAAAAAAGATCCATATTGATCCCTCAAAAGGACTAATATGGATCACTTTAAATTTCTTAGGGACCACGAATAATTTTTTTATTTGCTAGGGACTAAAGCAGACATCATAAAATTTGCTAAGGACCGAAAATGATATTTACTCAAAAAAAAAAACTTCTCTCGTATTATATTAAATGAGAGAATTATTATCCTAACCTTATTACGTGAAATTAATATGAGAGGTGATTATTTTATACATTTACCATCATAAGTGTATATCAAATGCAAAATAATTATTTTCTTTTTTTTTGTCTCAAGAATATATATTATAACCTATGCAAGAAACATGATGTATAATTGAAGTCGCTGTTCTTGCATGACAATTTGCTCGTACATCATATTCAATTCGAGCAATAAGAAAATGATAATTGTTATATAATTGAGTTGGAAATTGTAAACCGTATGATATCATGGGTATGTATATATAGCATAGCCAGCACTCTAAATTAGTATCATAGTATTAGAGTAGCATTAATTTGTTAGGATCCTGATTGTAACTATCACGGTTTGTTACCTTGTATATTAAAATAGATTAGCTTGATTTATGCTTTCTGTTCCTTAGTTTTAGCTGATTTCCTGATGTAAATAGATTAGCTTGATTTATGCTTTCTGTTCCTTAAGTTTAGCTGATTTCCTGATGTAAATAGATTAGCTTGATTTATGCTTTCTGTTCCTTAAGTTTAGCTGATTTCCTGATGTAACCAATTGTAAATCTTGGTCTATATAATAGACCCAATTTAATATATCATCAAGCTGCGAATGACAGCAACTTCTGTTATGGTATCAAGAGCTTGACGATCAACAAGCCTTCATTTTTTTTTTTTTTTTTTCATCATGACTTCCGCACCTAAAACCTTCAAGGTTTCTGATTTTACACCAGAAGTTCT